CAGTGACGCGAAGCCGGTTTGGGGTCACGTGACGGGCTGAGAGCCGCGCGGGCGCCGTGCGCAGCGGCACCGAGGAGCAGCGGCAGAAGGCGGGGGCGGCTCTAGCGGCGTCCGAAAGCCCCGGGCCTCAGAGGCTCCGAAGCCAGAAGGTAAATGCAAAGGACCCCAGGTTGGTTTCACTCCCTGTTCAGGTGTGATGTTTTTAGGTTGGTCACACCCACACTGGGTCCTGCACCGAGCTCTCCTCCACCTTGAAGTCTGAAGCCCATTTTCACGATAAATTGTTCTTTCCATTAAAGTCACAGAATCACAGAACGTTAGGTATTGGAAGGGACCTCAAAAGATCATCTAGTCCAATCCCCCTGCCGGAGCAGGAACACCTAGATGAGGTTGCACAGGAAGGCGTCCAGGCGGGTTTTGAATGTCTCCAGAGAAGGAGACTCCACAACCTCTCTGGGCAGCCTGGTCCAGTGCTCTGTCACCCTCACTGAGAAGAAGTTTCTTCTCAAATTTAAGTGGAACCTCCTGTGTTCCAGCTTGTGCCCATTACCTCTTGTCCTATCATTGTCACCGAGAAGAGCCTGGCTCCATCCTCGTGACACTCACCCTTTATATATTTATAAACATGAATGAGGTCTCCCCTCGGTCTCCTCTTCTGCAAACTAAAGAGACCCAGCTCCCTCAGCCTTTCCGCATAAGGGAGATGCTCCACTCCCTTAATCATCTTTGCAGCCCTACGCTGGACTCTCTCCAGCAGTTCCCTGTCCTTCTTGAACTGAGGGGCCCAGAACTGGACACAATATTCCAGATGCGGTCTCACCAGGGCAGAGTAGAGGGGGAGGAGAACCTCTCTCGACCTACTAAGTAAGTCTTAAAATACAAGGTCTTGCGGGTGTCCTTATTGATCCTTCGGCATTATTCTGGTGGGACTCCAGCTTGCTCAAACATTTTGTGCATGTTCCTCCCTTGCATCCAACTAGCACAGCTGCAGGCAGTCACTAAGCCACTTCAGAGATCCCAAATTGCTCAAATCAATCATTTTTTTCACAGGTCACGTTTTGGACAGACAAGCTCCCTGAACTGATCCAGCATGGAAGTAATGAGGAGCATGAAGCCAAGCCACAGGGTGTGGAAGGGGGGCTGCTGTGGCAGCGCTCACTGGTCCGGCACTTGCAGAACAGCCACCCCCCTTACAGTTACCAAAATCAACAGGCAGTTCCTCTCCTGGCTGAGCTGCAGCTCTCCAGCTACCCCAGAACTAAAACATTTCCAGTTTCCTCTCTGGACAGTATTTCCCTGCACTCTACTCCACCTGCATGTTTTTAAGCTGACACCCAGATGCAATATCAGCTCTAACTCTGGGCAAGACCCTGTACTAAAGAGCTGACTACCTCTTGCCCAGAGAACACCCAAAACACTCCGCAATTTAAAATTGGCACCAGATGCAAAAAAAAAAAAAAACCCAAAAAAAACCGAAACCAGCTTTAGGTGCAAAGCAGCCTTTTTAATTATTCTATCCACAATTTTTTTTACTGTGTCATTATATTGTAAATAGGGCAACCTAAGGACTTGGTTTGGATACAAAAATTACTTTTCTTCAGAACAATTGGTCTATTATTAAAGATAAGTCCACCAAGCCATTTGTCACTTGTCATTTCTAGGTGCAGGCACCTCTGCATGCATACACAAGTTAATTCAGAATGGTGCACATCCTTGGAAAGGTTCTGTTAGAACTAGTTTTCGTTTTAAATGCTTAAAACTTGAAGTAGCTTAAGTTCAGTTTTGTAACTTTTATTCTTTGAGCTGACAAGTTAAGAGTTCTGCCTGCACAAAAAAGCTGCCTTCTTCCCAAATTCAACTATACTTACTTAGCATGCCTGAGGGGCAAAACAAATGTTGGATTTTATAGCTGCTTGACAACAGATGTGCTCTGACCTGGAAAGCTGGTTATTAAAATCTGAGTTTATTGATGGGATATTCTGGCAATTTAAGTCAGCACCTGAAACATTTGCCTTTCACAGCAATAACAGCTGTACACAGCAGGCTGCCAGTAGTTTACACAAACTAAGAAGTAGGAAAGGGAACTCCTAGGTATCCAGGACCCTAATACTAGGTTCCAGGGCCTAAGTCTAAGTACTTGGGGCTGGAGATAACCTCCTAAAAAGAATGACAACTGCAAATCAGAGGTTCAGATAAGATCTTTAATACAACACAGAGCTGACAGCACGTTTTTGTATTTAAAAGAAAGTATTTGGTCTCTTGGTGGTGAAACGTGGTTTGTGCTGGCGACGCAGAACTCTGTGTGGCAGAGGGAACTTGATCTTAGAATCCTGCAAGAAAAATGTTTCTATGTTAATTGTGATATTAAATAAACACCAGATCATAGTTTGCAATAAATAGCTAAGCTATACTCAACTGCTAACTCCTGTATAGAGAAGCAATGCATCCACACATTAGATACCCTTCATAGGGGCTAACAGACACCTTAGTTTTGCACTCTTTTTGAAAGAAATGCCTGTTAAAGGCAAGTTTTCTGCAACATAATACGTACTTGCTTTAGTTTGACTTTTTCAAACAGTTCTACCATTAAAGGTTTTGATCGTAACATAAAATAATTGTAAACCTACGCATTCAAGTTTGTTCCCACCCTAATTTTGCTGGCAAAGCAAACCTGTATCACACAATAGAGCCCTCCCTTCCAGTCCAGGGTTAGACTGGGACCCACCAGCCACTGCAGCGTCACTTCACTTACATGGAACTGCTTGACCGCTGGTCTGCGGCACTTGCTAGCAGCAATTTCCTCAACTTTCATGATCTGAATAGAGTGAGCACGGGCACGATGACGGGCTCCCATATCACGGTCTGTAACAAGAAAACTCATTAATAACATTAAGATGTTTCAGTTCAAAAATCTTACTACCACCTTTTTGGGAAGTGTTTATAATTTCTTATCAACCCTACTTAATCACGCTGGTTTTAGTACCTAAAGTGATGGGAGAACTATCACAGAACCACCATGCAGCAGCAGATTCTTCCTGGAACTCATAACCAAACTCCTCCAACAAAGCGCCACCTTATCCTTCTTGTCTGATTTCAAGAAGGTACACACATACAGAAGTAATTTACATGGGACTGTTTCATTTTCTGCACAAGAAAACTGTAATTCAGAATCAACACTGAAATATGACTACTCCAAAGACATGTGAACTTCAAAAGATTTCCCTTCCAAAAGGAAGGTGCAAGAAACAGTAGAACCCGAGCTTATCTTTACTTTTCTTAAAGCTGACAAGTGATACAAACGTGAATTGTTATTTAGCCAGGTAATTAGGCATTCAGAGCACGAAGAAGCCACTGTACATGGGCTACCTGAAAATTCCTTCCTGGGCAGTGAAAATCACTGCCTTCAAATCATGATGCCCATAGCTAATTCCACAAGAACTGTTTTCCTGTTGAAATACTATTGTGCTTACAGTGTTCCCCATGAAAATCTAACATACCTATCAAAAACTTACTCTCTAAAGTATTCTTGAACATAAAGGCATCAGTCACTGTGTCATGACAAATTTAGTTCTCAGGTCTCTTCAGTGTGTTAATTAACATGAATTATTGGAAGTTAATGTAGAACCTGAAATTTCACTTTCAACAGCACTTCAGCTTTTGAAAGGCGACAAGATACATTTAATATTTGCACACATGACAAGAATATCATTATTAAGAACAATATTCTTTGGGTTTTTATGTGCATTCTGTAGTGTTTTTTAATACTTCTGGATTAAAATATCAACAGCATCAGCTATACAGGTCTATCCTTCAAGTACTCCACAGAAGACTGAAATCAGAGACAACCTTTAATTGTCCCTGAACCCAGGCAATGAGATCCTGGAGCAATGCAGATTTTATTTTTTTTTAATCCCTGTGATTTTCTGTTACTTGCTCTCCAAAGGACGGATTCTAGTAAGTTCCACATGGTATCTGAAATACTCTTTCCACAAGACTTGAGAAGATATACCCAATTATTTTAAAACAATAAATACAGTGCATGAAATATGTACAGCACCTAAAAGGTGACGAAACTCTCAGTCTGTATAGCAGAACTCATTACTAGAATTGTAGAAAGTCATACCAACAAGTAGCAATATTTTTAGCTCAAAAAACTGTATAAAGAGTAGTAATGACTAAGATACCACATACATCATACATAAACATCTGCAGACTTCTCCTGAAACTCTCCACTTTAGTTTTCCAGTGTTTCAGATCAACCACATGCTTTATGCCCAGTTTATGATGTAATCTTGTGCTTACATACTGGTTCTACGACGTTATACCTCAAACAGTTACATGTACTTACAGCACTGAGTGACAGCACCAGCCGTGGTCAGATCTCTGTACTCCCTGTACATGTTGTGAGTTCCACTACGGGAATCATAGCGCAGCCAAATACCAAAATTTTTTACCCGCAGAGGGGATTTCTCATACACCTGAAATCACATAAGAGCACAAAAGCAGTTAGAAACACTACCTTAACAGCATCTAACAAGTTTAAGAAAAAACATTTTAGAGCTCTAATGAAACCACTGTGGTAAGTTTTACTGTCAGAACCAGCTATTTCCTCTCTTTTCTCACACCAATATAACAATATTCAGGTCTTGGTAATTCAAAGTGAAGTGTTTCAGTAATTCAGCATGCAAAGAAAAATACACACAAGACTTCAGCTCTAAAGAATGTCCTTTAGCCATCAACGTAGATGAGCGTAAGCATACAAATCATAATCTTTGCGAAGTAGGTAATGTCCAAATGATTCTTAAAAAGTATATTCCACAATGAAGCAAGCATAAGAACCAGATAGCAGCGCTGACCAGTGGCACAGTTCATAACTGAGGTGCTGCAAAGTAAGGGTTTTTTTTGTTTAATGGACATGTATTACTATTTTGAAAAAAACACGAATTTGTCACTTAGCTTCACAGCAACTGAAGGATAAGTTAATTTAAACCTCACCCCCAATAACAGCACTTCATAGAAATTCCTCCCACATATACCATCTAGAATTCTTTACAAATCTCCCACTTCTTAGGTTTTTAATCCCTCACCTGACCACAGTACACAATCTCTCCAGAAGATTTCTTCATCTTCTTCAGCTGAGAAACGAAGTACCAGAACCGGGACTTGGCGACAACATGGTTCGGAGCGAAGATCCGCATCCGGTAGAGAGGAGGAGTCGTGCATTTCGGCGTCGGCAAGCATCGCCCGACCACCTTGTACTCCCGTAGCTGGAGATAAAGACAAGCCCGGCCGCAGCGTGAGCCCCTCCGCGCCACGGGCCCAGCCGCCGCGGAGCCACC